CCACGTACGAACATTTTTTGGTTGTTTATCTCAACACGGGGTAACGATCAATGCGGAAAAGTGTTCGTTTGGTGTCGACTCAGTAAACTTCCTCGGCCATCGTATCTCCTCTGCAGGCGTCGTGCCACTGCAGGATAAAATTCAGGCCATCATCGATCACCCTGAGCCTCATTCTTTCAAACAGCTTAGACGTTTGATGGGCTTGTCAACTTTTACCGACGATTCCTACCCAACTGTGCCTCGCTGATGCAACCCCTCACGGACCTTCTCCGAGGGAAACTCCAGAAATTCGAATTTTCTGCCGCAGTACACGCTGCTTTTAAGTCGCTGAAAGAGGCTATCGCCAATATAGCTTCTATAGCGTATCACTATCCAGCCGCTCCACTCTCCCTCAGTACGGACGCCTCGGACGTGGCAGTCGGCGCTGTTTTGCAGCAACGAGTAGCTGACACGTCGCAGCCCTTAGCGTTTTTCTCCAAACAACTACAACCTACCGAATCTCGCTACAGCACGTTCGGTAGAGAACTACTAGCCGTATATCCGGCGATACGTCACTTTCGACACGTCCTAGAAGGCCGCTTCTTTGTCGTCTTCACCGACCACAAACCCCTGACTTACGTGCTCGGCTCGATTACCGACCGATACTCTCCCAGAGAGTCGCGCCACCCTGACTATATCGCTCAGTTTACGACCGATATACGGCATGTCTCAGGTGTGCACAACGCCGTCGCCGATGCACTTTCCCGCATCCAAGCTATCTCCGCTGACGCCGGCACTGCTATCGACCTGGTAGCCATGGCCACAGCTCAGCTCAACGATCCTGAGGTTGATCTACTACGCAGGTCTCTCTCACTGGACATACGACTCGTTCCGCTGACATCAACAGACGGAACTATTCTCTGCGATTTATCTCTGGGCACGCCGCGCCCAGTCGTCCCACGCGAGTTTCGGCAGACCGTGTTCAACATGTTGCACGGTTTGTCTCATCCAGGCGTTTGTGCATCGGTTAAACTCGTAACCACACGATTCGTTTGGCTCAATGTTAATCGGGACGTCCGTACTTGGACAGCTGCTAGCCTTCCGTGGCAATACACGAAGGTGCACAAGCACACGAGAAGCCCATTAGGCACCTTTCCGACGCCAGACGCACGTTTTCATCATGTGCACATGGACCTCGTAGGTCCTCTGCAGCCTTCGAAAGGCTATGTGTATCTGCTGACCTGTGTCGATCGATTCACTAGGTGGCCGGAAGCTATTCCCATACCTAACTGCTCTTCGGAAACAGTAGCAAAAGCTTTTTTGGAGCGCTGGGTAGCTCAATACGGTGATCTCCCGTTCGACTTTTTGGTGGAAAGCTTCAATTTGCCAAAGGAACCCGTGGACGATTGTTATCGATTATCGCATCGATTTCGAACGTTCTGAAATATTCCATTGCCTGCACCTGACTAACAACCTCCTGAAGATCGGCCAAAACCACGGGGAACAACTAACCTTGGCGGTTGACCTTCCTATTCCAGAACTCGAAGGTCAGTAAGAGATCTGTAAATACAGCCAAGGTCCTCTACACTTATACAGTGGTTTGTTGACGGCGGTTAACACGTTACTTTGTCAAGGTCATTGGCGTTCGTCTTGTTTTCTCGGTTGGGTTAGAAGGTTTGGGGAACAGTAAGATGCCTATTTCGGAATTGCATCCAGTGAGAGGCTTATAACTGCTTCTACCAGAAAGACTCATTCCAGCGGCGCCAAATATTAACCAATCAGCATAGACGTCTGCTCATCTACTTGGTTCGTTTGCGACAGTCCAGCTGCTTGTCTGGTTGCGTCACTCCTCTCGCCTTTCTGATTGCATATTCCCGTCACGGAAATAGCTCGGAGCCTTCGACGGACAATACCGTCGATTCCATTGGGGCCTTACTTTGATTTACCAGCTTTTGTGAGACCCCAACCACGTGTGTCACCATTTGCTAGAGCTTAGTTGCAACAGTAATCTGAGAAGTCACCAAACAGAGCAGTACCTTCTTCGTTAAGAATCCCATCTGGATTTCTTTGCCGCACGTGTTTGCCAAGCGTGGAATGCCCCTCACATATCTGTTTCCTGTGCTCCCTCGCATGTAGAGTTCAACTCCCGAGTTAACCATGCACTCATTTCCATGCACTGCACCACGTGATTCATTGCTCATTGCCAAACACGAGTATCTGCTAGAGCGTTCATTGCCGGTCAGTTCACTTAATATGTTCCACATATTTCACCTTCTGCACGATTCCACCAGGAGGCCACATGGTTTCTACAAACGTCCAGTTGGTCTTCATATTTTACGAATTTGTAGTTAATAATAGTACCTATACGGTGCTGAGTCGGCCGGTGTGAAATCACTTCTGGTTAAATCGCTTTCAAAATTTCGCGCTCTATTCACCCTTACCATCCTGAGGGTACCTGATTAGCATTAAGTTTCTTCATCGTTGTTAACGGGTTGTTCCTTTTTCAGTCTACACCGAAATTCGCTTCCCTTTCCAAATGCACCAGATTACGTCATCCGAGCATACAAACTATCCTGTATGGACAGCCGATATTGCATTTGTTGATTCTAGTCCAGCATGCGAAAATGCAAAACAATGGATGGCCGCATGCGGGCATATTGTTCTTCGGTCATTGACTATCTAGCCAGGTTTCTAATTGACTGCAGTGCTATTAGTCCAGAACTGACTAGTACATTTTACTTGTAAGCTTCTGTTATTCACTGAAAATTTTCTTTTCCTGTTAGCCACTATTACACTACTTGTTATCATGTCTATGGCATGTGTATTACGACTGAAGAGTTACTAGTTATGGGCTCATAAAGCGTATATTTTACTTGACCTAACTATTACTCCAGACAATTGGTTGCCAAATGACACTTTTACAGTTATATAGACTGTGAACTGTGGTGCTAGACTGATTGCAGATTCATCACTATAAGTTGATTGCTCGTCAATTTACATCCGGGGGTATCTTCAGTGCATTTACGGAACATATCTTGGACTAGTCAGTTCCACACTAATAAAACACGAAGTAAGTAGCTGTTCGTATCCCAGCTGATGTTCGGTAACCTTCGGTTACTACATGTGCGTATTTGAAAGCGCAACATAGGTCAGACCAGACTGTGTGATGTGGACAATCTACCGCATCATGTAACTTGTGTTCACAATGGGACAAAAGAATGGATTTAAATGCTACCGTGGCTAAAATGCTAGTGAGTTACTGCTGGAGAGTGCTAGAATAAAATGGAATATATGAAGGAATGTCCTCAACGATCGCTTATTTTAATTGCTGTTCTGATTGACAACTTTAGCCATAGGATAGTGAGAACACATTCCGAGTTGAGAACATTACTGTAGAATACGGCTGGAACGCCCTTCCAAACTCAGTTGTTTGTGCCCCCACATTAGATACGTTTAAAAACGATTGGACGTCGCACTGAGCGCCCTGCGCTTTGTTTTATGAACGAAAATCGCCTGTATATATTTAGGCTGACCAGCCTCTTTGGATTTATACCCCAAATTCACGGTCGTAAATCTGTGCGAACCGGTGAGTACTCCAATTTTATTTGCTACCATCACCAACGATAACAATTTCTTAGCCAGTTTTGCGTCGTACCACTTTATCCCCCTAAAACTGTTACACTTCTACCTTTTATCTCACTGACGCTCCTTACTTCAACCACTTATGTGGTTTGCCAATTTGTTAGTATTTCTATTGCCAACCTGCGGGACTCGTTAAGTGTATGCTTTTTTACCCGTCATATACCATTGTTCCATTATTGTTCCAAGACCACCGTGACCGCAGATTTTGGTGTACTTGAGCAGTTGAAGTAACTGATCACCTCTAACCATTCTATTTCAAAGATAGCGGTGATAGTGCAATAACGTTTTGGACGTTGTAAAGCGCCATCTAAGGGATAGAAAGGACCTGAATGACGAGTGTGGAGTATTTGTTTCATGTTTGTACACTGCGTATGTGATGCAAGTAGATCAGTTTCCTTCGGAACCTATGGAAGCTTAGTCAGTCCTGGATTGTGATTTGGAACCCCTTTAGACCGCAATTTATTGTGACACTGAGCTTGCTCTGAAGAAATGAACCATAGCAGTAATGATACCAACATCACCATCGTCTGCAATGCGACATCGTCAACTACCAGTAGTGTTTTGCTGTGGCAACTGAGTATACGCAGCATATGTCAAAACCAACAGTGATAACAGTTGAAACAGTGTAATTTTAAGGTAAATAAAATGATAGAACAACTTCGGTATAATCATTAAGTACACATGTATTTGCCTAGTTTAACCGGCAACTGCGCCTGCGAAAGGTAGTGGTCAGTATTACATAGTGTACATCCTCGTGTTTGTGACCATTCAGTCGTAGTTCGATATATATCCACGATACGGTTTCAGTTTCCACTGTTGTTATGTGGTATGAAATCAGTGTTATCTCCCTGACCGTCAGTGGCAATTCGATTCCCCCTATGGTCATTTCTTTTATCACTGAGGAACTATCATCGCCATTCAAATCAATGGCGACAATTGCCTGCACTTTTAACCGCGTCAGAGGAAACAAACTTATTTTTGCTCGGCATGTATCTTTTCTGGAGGGTTTCACTTTGGTCAAGTAACCGTGTAGATTAGCTGACAGTGCGTTAGTCAGTTGTGCCAACAGTATCATTGAGAGACGGGCACGATGAGATGGCCTGCCTCCACGAGGCGTAAGGTTGGATTGTCCAGGTGAATCTGTAAGTGTTAATCTAACCAGCACAGCTAGATGAGCCATTTCGTCATTGTTTCCAAGAAATACTCCGTAGAACACGTCAGGAAATGTATACTCCAACCTGATAGAAAGCTAGCCAAATCGAGATAATTCACCACTTCCAACTTGCATTTGGGCAAGGGAATGTGGCGTACTTTGTATCGCACCCTCGATATACACTAACTTCAACATAACACAACTTCAGCAGTTGTCTGCGACCTACCTGGAGTCGGAATTAGGTCTTCCGGAGGCGGATCGGTGATCTCATCAGCTTCGGCCGTCGGTTCCTCGGTCTCCTCCACTGCAGAAATCCTGGTGAATTCGCTGAAGAGGTCCTGATTTAAAAGATGATATCGCCTTAGATGATTATGTTTTGGGATGGTTAGGAAAACATTAGCCGATGTTTGTTTTGCCCATTTTGTTGAGAACCCAGTGGCTTGCTAACTTCTGCCTCAGTATACTGCCGTATTAGATGTAAATCAATCATAGTTCAGGGCATGTTCTGTACGTTTTGCAGCACCCCGGATCACAGATGATCCGGTCTGCCATTTTCTTTGAAGGAAATGAATTGTCCTTTACTAAATATAACGTGCGGAAGCTCCAGATTACAAAGTAGTGTATCATATTGGTATTGCTTAACACGTTTTAGTTATTTTCGATGGTATGCAGCTGTGCGAATACCGAAGAACAACCGATAACTTTGCAAGCTGTAGCAGAATGCACGATGTGTTCATCTCTAAGTAGTACTTTTCGCTGAATTTTTGAACAACAGTTTCAAATAAATCTACGCCATACTTACAACTTGAATGTCTTCAGTGAGTGTTGGTTCAACGATCTCTCCTGCAGGTTGCTCAGCAGGTGGCTTCTTCATCTGGTCATCTAATTCTTTGTTTGACACTAAGGTGGCATAATTGTGGTTGGAGATTATTGGTTATAAATCACTTCAGAGCATACCCGGGTTGGTCTTTTTGGGTGTGTAGGATGAACACTCTACAGAGTAGTTATCAAATTTCATGAAAGAGATAAGGAAGCTGCAGTCTGATAGCGTTAGGAACTTGGGTATATCGAAAGTGATGTCCACATCAGGAAATGTGAACTGTCTCACACTAAAGTAAGCAACGATAAAATTAAATAAAAGGTCCTGGAGTTACCGTGGATTTTTGGACAAGTTTGCCCAGATACATATAGATATCCAATCATTTCTCCATATTTTTTGGAGGTTTGAAGTTTCGTGATCAGCGTAATGCGTGGCACGTGACAATGTTTCTACGGTTGCGCGGTCCAGCTTCTCATGTACGAGCTGCCGCAGCTCGTGCATTGTCTAGAGTATAAAAAGCTGAATATCACATCCCTAACAGGACTTACTCTTCTGTATGTCGCCAGTGTCTGTGCATCTTCTTCATTATCGCCGATGTCTGCTACCAGCGTGCGCAGTTCATCTATTAGCTGCTGTAGTATGCAAGACCGGGGCGTACAAAAGTGGTACCTTCAAACTGTGAACGCTATCATTCATAACCTCTTCCATTGTTAACCGTGATTCATCTAGCCGCCATAAGCTCATGAATGTGTTGACTTCCTTCTCGATGCTTGGGTTAGGCGAGCCATCACAACGGAAATAACGCTTCCACTATAGAGCAAATGTTGGTGGTAATTAAAGAAGAAAGTTTTCCTGACTCACAGCATATTCTGCCCTTCTTTCAGATTCCAGTTGTTCGAGACGAATTCTGTGCTCCTGCAGCAATTCCCTAGTTTCAGCCAGCTCCAATTTGCGCAGCTTGAGCTCCTTTGTGAAAATCATGAAAAATGTTCACTTTAGGTTAGATAATTGTTCGCATATATATAAGCTAAAAGATGAAATGCACAAAGTATGTATTTCTTGCTTGCTAATTATATGTGTCCATCTGCCATACATAAAAGAATGAACTTTTAGATCTGACTGCAGCAATACACCAAAATGTTCGTTTGTACTTGCGACCTGTCATTATTTAAACTGAAAGTCTCTTATACCATAAACAAATTTCGCCTGTTTTCAACAGATTTGGGGCAAAAAGGATGCGTTTATATCCTTAGTATATTTGTATTTATTTGCCGGCCCGTAGCCTTAAGGATCACACGCCTGCCCTGTTATTCGAGGGAGCGGGTTCCAGCCTGCATAGGGGCCGGGAGACTCTAGCAGTATCCTCAGCTCACGTACGACTGAGGGTGGTTGCGCGGCAGCGAAGCGTTGATACACACTACTGACTTACTGCTGATGCCTTAATATGTTTATTTAGTTGACCATGGCTTGGGAGTTTAGTAAAAGTATAATCAAATGATTGGAGGCTCACTTTGATGTAAGCATCGTGTGGATGGATTGTGATGCGCAATCTCTGTGTGGACGGCGATTCGCAACAAACTAGACCTTGGGCAACACAGTCACTGGGAAGGTCATTAATGAATTACGTAGATATTAGGTATTTCCCACCCGAAAACGGTGCGCTCCAGTGCAGTACGTATTGCATCTTAAGTTGAAGTAAAGAAGCAGTATATTGAATCTGATGGTGACACTTACTGCCAATTTCATCGACATTTGTAATAGCGTTATGGCTCGTAAAGACAGCCAGATATTAATCGTCACAGAATACAAACTAAAAGTTAAGCAATCAAAGAACATAACATTTCGCATTCAGTGTGAGATCGGGGTTGCAAAAGGAAGATAGGCGGGAAAACTGGATAAAGAGACTCACAACGCAAACCCCAATGAGGCCGACTTTTCGTCCTGTCAATTAGAGTATCAAACTAAATGATACGTATCACCCAAGTATTCCTATTTCGTCGTTGGACCCGTAATCCCGAACTCGGAGAGAGAGAAGACACCAAACCCTAAGGCAAACGTGTTAGTTGCTTAATGACGAGTACATCGAATGCGGAAAGCGGAAACGGAAAACAAGCCAATTAGAGCAAGAATAAAAGGCCAGTCGGTATCGACCAATGTGAGAACGTTGTCCGATCGATCGCGTGGGTGTGTGTGTGCGTGTGTGCTAGTCTAAGTAACATTAGCACGTTCTACTGTAACACCAAACGTGTTCCCCATCATTCGGAGCCACGCCTGGAAGTCGGGATGCACCAACTGATGCGAACTTCGGAGTAACGGCTTTCATCCCACTTGCCCAAGTCATCACCTGGTCTCCCCTCCTCATCTTTCATCCACGTCCCGGTCGTGCATACAACGCACGTCGCGGGAGTCCTTGGGCTTTTATGCGCAACAAGTGGCGCATCCATCGGAACCTGGTGCGTGCTATAACAGTGATGCATGGTTCACTCGCTCCGACTGCACCAAATACATGATGCCGAATGCGCTCAGAGCTTACACGGGGTTCCCACCAGACATGATCAGACTGCGAAGTCAGTGACAATCGATCTGATGGGTGAGGTTTCACAAACATGCAGGAGGGTTGGATGTACAGGTGCATTGTAAACTCCGTCCTTCAGAGCGAGGGCGCTGTCGCTCTGGCGTCACAGGTGGCGCAGATTTGCAAAAGCACCACGGGCTTTTGATATTTGGTTCATGAACGCAGCTTTGATCCCACGCGCGCTACTATGGCTGCCTAGATACCTGAATCTCTGAACGAATTCTAGCTGATCACCATCAAGTGTTGGCGCATGGGTGGGCCCCTGGCAAACTCAGAGAACAACTTGGCATTTTAGGAAGGTAAAACATGGCCCGAAACGGTTGACAACCCGTGATAAGTGTCTAGGACTGCTTGGCATGTTTAGGAGTTCTCACAGATTAGGACACTATTCTCGGCGTACTACAGCTCAGAACGTCTAACACCTCTGGGCAGCGCCAATGGCTATAGATCGTGCCCAGTGAACGCCATTTCCATTAGTCCGTCGATGGTGAAGTTAAAAAGAAAGAGTTACAGTGAGTATCCATGTCTCACCGCTGGAGATATTGAATGGCGACAACATCGTTCTATAAGCCTTCGCTCTGCCCCAGTTACCGCATAAAGAGCTTTTATGAAATTTTCTTATTTATCGGGCACACCTTTTTAGGCAGATTGGTCCGTCTCCTTCCGCTTTGAGGAGCCCTCTTGAAAGTATCCACAAATCGTTCAGTTTGCCCATTTGACTGTGGATGATAAGGAGCTGAGTGCAAATGCTGCATGCCGTGTACCGCACAGAATTCAGCAAATTGTGAAGAGGTAAACTGGGATCCATTGTCGGATACTACTGTTTCCGGAAAACCGAACCGACTGAATACTTCCTTGAGGACTGTAATCGTAGCCGACGTTGATTTTCTTAACGTTTGGAAGACTTCGGGCTATTTACTGTATGCAACGATGATAAGTAAGTAGATCCGTCTTTTGATTGGTCCTGAGAAATCAAGGCGAACCCTTGATCATGATTTCGTGGGCTTTAGCCAGGAAAACAGTTTACATTTCCGTGGCGATTTTGCTGCTAGGACACAATTTGAACAGCAACGTGTTAGCTCCTCAATTTTAGAATTCATAAACGGTCAGTACACATAAACCCTCGCTAGAGCTTTTATCCTGTTGGAACTGGGGTGTCCAGTATGAAATTGATGTAAGACTTTAGATTGAAGTTCGGCTAGGACGACGACACATTCACCAAACAAGATACAGTCTTCGACGACCGATAGCGCATTTCGTCTCTGGAACAATTGTTGTAACTGTGCGTCGGAAAATTTTCGAGGCCACTGTGAGTCAGAAAACGTGTTCACCTGTGACAGCAGCGGGTCCAGTAAGGTGGTGTCTCGAATCTGACTGAAAGATATTGGAAGCTGACTCACAGTATCTGAGAGTACACAGTTAATTTCCGTTTCGTTTGAGACATTTGTAACGACAGTGTCTTCTGGTTGGTGCTGTTCGTCTAACAACACTGACAGCGCATCGGCCTGACAAATGTCGCTCGTCGATCAGTACTTGATGTCGAAATCGTACCCCAGCAAAGTTGTCGCTCATCTCCGCAGACGATTGGTCGTATATACAGGAATTCCTTTCTTCCAGCCGAAAGTAGCAAGAAGCGGTTTGTGGTCCGTTAGTAAGGTAAAGTGACGACCATATAACATTTTGTGAAAGTCTCACTGCAAACCCAATAACGAGTGCCTCCTTTTTAATTTGACTATACTTTCTTTCTGCTGCTGTCAGTGAACGAGCGGCATGAGCGACCGGCTTCTCAATCCCATCTGGAAAAATGTGGGAGATGACTGCTCCAAATCCATAGATGGATACATCCGATGCTAGTACAATTGACAGTTTTGGATCGTAGTGCATTTGCATCAATTCTGAGCTTAGTGACAATTTGATGCTGTCGTAGGCTGTCTGACATTCGGTAGTCTAGACCCACGGGACGTCCTTCATCAGCAACCGGTTTAATGGTCCGCGTAGCTTGTCCATGGACAGCAGGTAGGCAACGTAATAATTCATCATACCCAGGAATGATCTCAACGTCGCTACGTCTTTCGGCCGAGGCATTTCCTTGATCGCCTTGATGGTTGATGTATCAGATTTCTGTTTATTTTGGTCAATGGTAAGGTCCAGGTATTTACTAGAGGTCATTATAAACTCACACTTGTCCATTCGTAGGTGAAAACCATACTCCTTTATTCTGCCAAGCACGAGTTCCGCTCGTTGGTGGAGTTCTTCCTGGTTAGATCTCATGATAAGCATATCGTCCAGGTAGGCAGCGACATAAAATATTCCCTGTAGCATCGTATCCATGATCTGCTGAAAGATTGCCGAGGCCGACTTAACGCCAAATGGCAGGCGTGTATCCTGGAATAGTTCTCTGTGAGTGGTAATCGTTAGCAACCCACGCGATTCTTCTGACGTTTCAATCTGGAGATATGCGTCTGACAAGTCCAGTTGGACAAAACACTTGCCACCGTTCAGACATGTTAAAAGGTCCCCAGGAAGGGATGGAGGGTATTGTGGTCTACTAAGGCGGCATTCAGGTCAGCAGAGTACTCAGTACATAAGCGTATCTTTCTGTTTGGTTTCTCGACAGTCACAATGGGGGCTGCCCATGAAGAGAAATTCGTCGGTTTGATAACCCCGGTTGACAATGGTCTGTCAAGTTCTTGGTCGAGGATTGAAACCACTACATATGGAACTGGTCTATTCGATCGGTAGACTGGCTTTGCTTCTGGCCGCAAGGAAAGATTGGCCTTGGTTTTAGTGCACTACCCCAGACAATCTTGAAACACCTGCGGATATTTCCGCAGTAAAGACTCCTTCCAATCTGCAGATGCGTTGCTTATTTTGTTGCACACGGAATTCAAGGGAACATCAATCAGTTTATCTTCGTAATCCGATCGAGACCGAGTAAGTTTAGATCAGAATGTCTCCTTATGTAGCATACCCATATGAACTGACAATCTTTGAACATTACAGGACAATAGATTTTACCGGCCAAGTCCAGCGGTCCTCCTGTAGCGTTGACAGTAATCCAACTTGTTCTTCGAACAGGTGGCTCACCGATTTTCTTCCAAGTTGTCTCGGAAATGAGCGTGATGTCTGAGGCAGTGTCAACTTGGAGGCGTACGGACACATGGTTCACAACCACTGTTACGATCCTGCCTTTTGTGGTCCCTGTACCGCAGGTAGCAAAAACAGGATAAATTTGAAGTCTTTGTTTTGTGAACGATGTGCCTACAAACATCTTGGCAGGTTTGACGTAAGGGTTCTTGTTGAAAATAGTTGCACGGCAATGATCCTCCTTGTGCCTTCGTTTGTTGCATTTCTGACAAAAATGCTTCTTGAACGGGCAGAATTTGACGAG